ATTAAAACATCGATCCAAGTTACTTATTATTTATGTTACTTGCTAATACGGAACTCTTCATGGGCGAGTCCGACTCGTACTTGGCCGCTTTTTTCATGAGCATTTAAAGTTCAAATTTTGACAAAATTTAAAAATGATTTTTATAGTTAAAAAGGTGGGTAAGTGGATGTCGCTCTGCTGTACTGTACGTTACAATTGGGTCACTGTATAATGGATGGTATTAAATTTGAATGCAATGATATAATATCATTGTATAAGAAAAACGATTCTGAGAGGAGACGGTATGTCAGTCTAGGTATAAGACATATTGTATACTTTTCTATGGCATTAAATTATATGGAATTTATGAATAAATTCCTTAAAATATGCACAGTCGTATCATGAGCATACTTCTTATTCCTTATACTATGGTAGATTGTATTCATAGGCCATAATATTTTGATTTTTCAGTTTCATATTATATCCCCGATTAATATTTTTAAATTACAACAAAAAACCAAGATCGTTAATATTAATTTTAATCAATTTTCGTCCAAATTTGAATTTAAAATGTTTGTAAAAAATAACTGTGTCCATATATTTTTTAGATTTTTTGGTTACAGTATGAACTATTTATGAGAACCTTTGTTTTAAATTTGCAATCTTTAGCTATAAAAACTGAACATTTTATAATTTATTAATTACAATGATTGATAATTTTCGAGATTTTGATAAATTTTGTCAAAGTTCGATGTTTAAATGCTTATAAAAAAAAATTGTGCCTATGTATTTTTAATATTTTTCAATTGCTACTGTAACAATATATCAGGAACCTTGTATTAAGTTTTTACACTTTTTGGCCCAACAGATGAAACTTTATTGATATTTATAGAAAAAAAAACTAAAAAATTTAAAACTGAAAATGTCCGTGAACAGCTCAAAAAGAGTCGACATTTTTTAAAAATTGTACAGTGTATAGGAAATGCTAATCTGAACATTCAGTGAAATTGTAATGTATCTATAGTTATTCGTTTTTGAATTACAACAAAATAAGAAAATCGGTACATGCGAGAAATCAAGTGAATATCCAATGTTGTAAAAATTTGAATTTCAAACGCTCATAAAAATTTAATTTGACTTTCCGGTAGAGATTTTTTTATTGATAAAGGTAGACAATCGTATGAGTAATCTTGTATTAGATTTTCAAATCTTAGATTTAAAAAGAAAAATTTTTACGAATTCTTAACTCAAAATAATTTGCTAATTTTCGTGATTTTTCCATATTTTGTCAATTTTTGAACTTTAAATGCTTATAAAAAAAAACTATGACTAACGATTTTTAATATTTTTCATCTGCCTTTGAAACAATATACTAGGAGTCTAGAAAATTTCTAGAAAAAAAACTAAAAGAAAATGAAAAATGAAAATGTCCCTAAACAGTTCAAAATAAATCAAAATATTTTGAAAATGTTATCGTGTATAGAAAATGCAAATATAAACAACCAGTGAAAATTGCATGAATCTACTGTTAGGTTAGGTTATCTACGGTCATTTGTTTTAAAGTTACACCAAAAACCAAATTCAATTTTCTGAAAAATCGATTTTGCGTAAAAATTCCCGCTTTTCCTTAATTTTTCTTTTGTTTTTCTTGGCGCTTTTGAAAAGTACTGGGAATTTTAAAATTTGACCTCTCCAATGCACCAACGATATTCACTTTCATAACGAACAAGATACTGAAGTCGAAAATCGAAGCATTATTTCGACTACTTATCGTTTACACAGACATAATATAAAAAAAATATAAAAACACACATCATTGTAAAATCAATACATTCATCGTTCCACTCAGAATCTAAAATGTATAAAATGTTTAAAGGTACGCTTTCCCTGCTGTTCCACTGCATCTGGCGCTTTAGGGAAACCGTACCTAAATATCTATAGCTTAGGACTGAAAATTTAAAACAAGGTTCCTTGTAAATAGGTATATAAATTACTTTATTCACAATATCATCAAATATATCTTTATATATAAAGGAAAGTGTACTTTACCAAGAATCAACGCCCAGACCAAACCGCTGGGTCTAGAGACTTGAAATTTTATATAGAGGTTCCTTAAGCAATGTAGGGGCGCACTAAGAAAGGATTTTCGAAAATTCGACCTACAAGGGGGTAAAAGTGAGGTTGAAAGAATACGACAGTGGCGCCATCTATCAAGCAATATTTAATTTAAATATACAATATTGGTATTAAAATGAGTGAAATAAAAATAAAAATAATTTATATTGATATATAATAATAACAATTTAGACATCTCTATGACAATTAATACATCAGTTCGCGGATGTACTGGCTAATACAGTATAATCTATGGTTAATCGGGCATGTTTGTTTTTTTTTGTTTATATTACCCGGAACACGTTGGATAATTATTTAAAATATTATATTTATTCAATTTAATTGTTTGAATATTTTTTTTAAAAATGTCATCGATTGAAGATATTTTTGTCAATGGAATGTTGACACCTCAAATAGTTGTACCAATTATCGGTGATGGTGCCTGCCTTTTCCGTTCAATATCATTTCATTTGTTTAACACTCAAGAAAGATGTCAGGAGATCCGAAATACAATTGTTTCTTATGTGTCTGATAATTGGAATAACTTTATTACTATGTCTTACAATTCAAATGGTGACAACTTTTCCACTGCTGAGGCTTATGTTCGTGAAATGGTCAATCCTACTGCCTACAGTAGTTATTGCGAATTGGTTGCAGCTGGAAATATTTTCCCATATTTATTTCAAATTTATTATAATAATAATCTTTATGCCAAATTTGGTGTAGATACATTCCCAGTAAAAAGATTGCGTCTAACTGGAAATATTAATAGTGGTAATTTTGATGTTTATCTATCTATTCCTAATAAACTGAAATCAAGCAAAAGAGGAAATCTTTGTTACGGTTTGGCTTCGAAACTTCTTATCCAATTGTCATGCAGTTTTTTTTAAATGAAAGAGGATATCACGGAGCAGGTTTTAGGCATAAATAAAGTCCGATAATGTTAGTCAATAATTAGTTATCTATATTGAATATGGAGAGTGAAAAATGTCGTTACCTCATCAATCGAGAACGGCTGGTCCGATTTGGCTCATTTTTTTTTTAAGATGTTCGTCATTGCCAGGAGATGGTTTTTACGAAAGAAAATTTTAAGAAAATCCACCGGAAAATTAAGAAATCTGGTTGTAAAGAATACAACAGTAGAGCAAAAGTGTATATAATATATTGGTTGCTATTGGTTAATCGGGCATGTTTGTTGATTTGTATTATTTTTTATCAATATATATATATAAATGAGTGTTTATGTGTAGAATATACCTCTGGGAAAAAGACAGGCTAATTTAAAAATGGTTAAATTTGGTTTTTTTTATTCATCTGATATTAGTACTATTAGGTTAAGATTTTGTATTAATAGATTTTATTAATCCATTATAGGTAGAACACGATAAACTTGCTATAACTTTAATACTCTAGAGTTAAATCATACACTTACTTACAAACAGCCAGGGGTCCGCGATCTACCGCAGGTAGATTGCCTACCTGCAGATAATATACTGCTGCAAATCAGAATTTTTATTCCGGGCAAAGGAAAAGTTAAGATACATTTTGAACACCATACACCGAATATTATAAATAACGAATTGAACACAGTTTGAGGCATATAGATTTGGTACATTGAACGGGCAACGAAATGCACGGGATCAGCTAGTTTAGTAATATATCATAGTCTGTCTTCGCTCAAAATCGTTTTTCGTATACAATGATCTTATATCATTGAATTCAAATTTAACACCATTCATTACTGTGACTCACTTGTAACCTACTTACTGTATAGCCAAGCAACACGTACTAGACTCCCTTTTTTTTTTTTACTTTTTACAATATTATGATATTATTGGTGTAGTACTGTAGTCATAATTAGAATTAATTGATATACAATACAGAAAATTAGTATTTAGATAGTAATTAGAAAATTAATAGTTGTGCACTTTATTTATTTATATATATAGATTACGAACCTCAAATTTTTTTTTGTGTATGAGCCTGTACAATATATACCATGTGACATATAAATAGTTTAGTCAAAGAGGATTTTTATTAACTGTAGAACTGTATAAAAATGTAGGCACGTCTATAGTGCATATTTTTTTTTACATACCACCTTATTACCCTTTTTAAGAATGGCTAAACCAAAAACTATATTGTTCTGTATTTATTATTTGTAATATTTGCCTATTTATAAAAGCACATCACTTAAAAGTTATAGCATAAAATATAAATATTTGATTACTATACACTTGATGAAAATATCAAATGTAAAGTTCAGTGTTTATATTATGTGTATGTATATTATTCCTCTAAGACCTTAGTCCTTTAAACAATTAGAAAAGTTTAAATCAGTACACTTGGAAATGTGAGGTTTAAAATATGGGTAAAATAAGGTAAGGTATATTCTTTACCAACTAAGAAGTTGGTGAAATTTATTATACACTTCAGACCGGTACTACTGAGAGTTTACATCTGAAATAACACTAAAAATACGAAAATAAAAATCTAAAAATTGAATATTATCACCATTATTTAAGTCCATACATAATCAAATCAATAATAACAAACTTATTTTATCTTAAACAATTTCTAAAAAAAATCTTTGTAAGGACCAACAAAAAAAATAAGATGGTGCATTAAAATGTTTGCAATTTTTATATAGGCTTACATATAAATTATAAACCCAATGAATAAATAGTTATTATTATGTACAGAGTAATAATTATTAATATTGATATCTAATCAAATGCAAAACTGTATTAAATATTTGAAACTGAGATGGAAAAATGTTTGTGTGTAGACTTAACAGGTAATAAATTGTGCGCAACCAAAACTTCTATTGGCGTTTTAAATAGCGCAAATGGCTTTGTTCACTTGTCGACCAATTAAAAATAGAAAACAAAATTAAAAAAATTCTCCTAGTTATATTGTTCTGGTAAGACATAAGAGATGTCGTCCCATGGATGACGATAAAGTCCTTGTTTTAATCTCTTTTGATCCATAAAATGTCCTAAAAATACAGAAAAAAATTGAAAATATGTTTTAATACTTCTTGAGAGGAGGTCAGTGGATAATTGTTTTCTCTCTCTGGCCACACAAAACATGTAGTCCGAAAAAACGCAATCACGTAAAATCATTTGGTTTTTTTTTTAGGTGGTGGGAGGGGGAGTAATTTAAAAGTAATTCATTATCGATTACAAAAATGATAGAGATTAATATTTTTAAGAGTATGACACATCAATTTGTCTTAATATTGTTTCAAAACAATTTAATATAAGTTTACATATTTAATTTTTAAAATCTTATATGAAGTCAATCTACAATAAAATATAAAATCGCTATGTTAAACCTTCAAAAATATTACCATGTACAATTTTTGGAATAGGTAATTCCTTCAAGCTTATCCAGAAATCATAAAAAGATTTTACATGAATACGTTTTATTTATGTTGAGCATTGGTGTGAGAGAAAAAACAAATATTGAACTGACACCTTCTTAAAATATCATTCATAATATGGATACTACTAACCAATAAATCCAATACTTCTTCCAAGTACAAACAAACTGTTAATTGAGCCCATATCAATGTACTCTTGGGCTTCTTCACGTGTGAAACTTCCACTATGTCTCAACAAGTCACAGAATGATACAGCTATACATCCATCAACATTTAATATAAGATTGGGCTTTTTAGATGTGGTAATTTTTTCAACTTCTAAAGCATAGTTCAATAATGGTGTGGCTGGAAAGTTTTCCAAAACAAATTCTTTTATGATCTTAACTCTCATGTCAGGATTGTTGATCTAAAAAAAATTATCCACGATTAATGTAAACATTTATATTTATTAGAAAAATTAATGACTTACAGATTTTACACGATGACCAATTCCCATGATGAGTGATCCCTTTTTACGCATTTGGTTCACAAACTCCATTGGAATCAATCCAGAGTCATATGCTTCAGTAAATTGTTTAGCTGCTCCATCCAATGCACCACCAAATCTGTCTCCAATTGTCAACAAACCAGAAACCAGAGATGAAACTAAATCTTTACCAGCTCTTGCACAGACAATAGTATTGTGTGCGCCAGATACAGCAGGTCCGTGATCAGCAGTTACCATAAGACACATTTCAAAGAATTTGCACACATATGGTGGCAAAGAACGTTGGAACCACAAAAGCGATATAACTCCTCCAATACCCATATCTGCCTTTAGAACATCACTGATTGGCATACCAGCATACAATAACTCTTGTCCACGTTCATCACAAATACTAGTCATAAATGAAGCTGGTTTACGGATAAGGCCAAGTTCACGTGCCCAAGAGTAGTCCATGGGAACAGTTGGTGGTGGTAATTCAGCTTGAGGAATGATAACGCCTTCTTTCACCAATTTCTTGTAAACATCATGAATAATATCACCCAAAAAGTCAAATGAAGTTGGTACAAACGCACCAGCCTCTCGAAGGCTAGCATTTTTGGTAGTAGCAGTTTCTTGATCTGAGTTGGCACATGAACCAGCATGACCAAACTGAACCTCAGACGTAAACATACCTGATAAAATTACACATTGTTTTTAAATATATTTTTATTTTGTAGTATAATAATTATACGCATACAAGACGTGATCAAGAAACCAAGGAGAATAAGAAAACTATAGGGTTTTGAAAGAAAAATACTGAAAATATATGGACTGATATGAAATAATGACTATGAAAGTTTTCACAGAATAACAAATGAAAGCTTGTGACAACTGTATAATAAGCTAGGTGTATGTAGTTTTTAGTCAGAAAGAGGTTGGTATGGGCAGGACACGTATCACAAGGATAAATCCTACCTACTCATAAAGAAAGTCACGGAAAACATCGGGAAGACGGTATGATACAGTAGACAAAGATCTAGAAAATGAATACATTGCAGAAAGTGGAAGCGGTGTCTAATAGAGAGAAGAAAAAGATAATAGATGAAAATAGATATGACGATGGTCCTTAATGGTCCGTTTTAAGCCTATGAAGAAGTGTACTTACTGGCACAAGTTCCAATACACCAGGCGACGAGTGGTTTTGTGATTTTCTTTTGAGTTAAGGCTTCACAAACCTCATATTCTTCAGTTCCTCCAACTTCACCCAAAAGTACTATCATTTTAATTTCTGGGTCTGCTTGGTATCTCATGATGTGATCCATAAATGTAGTGCCTGGATAACGGTCACCGCCAATAGCTACTCCTTCATAAACACCATCAGTTGTTCTCGAGATTATATTATTTAACTCATTAGACATACCACCAGATCGAGAAACATATGCAACACTATAAACGCAATTTAAACATTATTAGGTATTAATTTAGTTTACATAATTTTTATAATTCTTAAGAATTGCTGTATAAGTTGAAATATTACCTTCCTGCTCTATATAATTTGGAATGTAAAATATTGTCCATCATACCACCAGTGTTACCAATCTTAAAACCACCCGGTTTTAATCCACCAACAGTGGCAGGTCCAATAACCGTAACTTTCTTTTCATTAGCCAACAATATTAATTTTCTTGTCATATTTTCAGGAATGCCCTCAGCAATAATAGCAATAGTTCTGATCTATACAATTTGCATTAATATTTAATTATGTAAAGATAGTAAAACCATAGATCATTTCAGTCTTACTTGAGGATAATTAAGAGTTTCAATTGTACTGTCATAAGCAGATCGCAAAGATGCAAAGTTTACTAAGACATCAGCATTTTGATGCTTCAACATGGCATCTTCCATTCTTTTGTACACTAGAAAAAAAAATTAGTTTGATTAGATATTTCAAATGAATATATAGGTATCACTTACCAGGAATTAAAACTTCTTTATGACCCCAGTAAAATTTCAATTTATGATCACCAGTGAATGGATATACAAGGCATGCAACAGATGGTTCATGTCTTCGGCAAACAAAATCAAAATCAAGCATACTCTGAAAAATAAAATAAGTTAATCATATTTTAATTAGTTAAAACTTATTTCTAACAAGACAGTGCATTAAAAAATGAACAAAAACAAAATATGATAGTTATCATTTACCTGTACAGCTCTAGTTTGCATTCCCCAAACAATAGCTCTAGTATTGCTTCCAAACAAAGGTTTAACGGATGGGGCTGTTGAAGTTATCTTAGGTCGTACAGTTGATGTTACTGTTGGACTTGTCGCACCACCTTTAGAACCATCAACAACTTCTTGTTGTGCATTCACAGAATTAGAGTCCTAAATATTTTTTTTTTTAATACTAACAACTAATTTAATTGTATGTTAAGTGTATTATCTTACCTGTCCACCAGGCAAGAGAAAATTGGCTGTTACAGACTCTTGTTCAGTTTCTTTTGGTATTGGTTTTTTACCCAGAGCGTACCCAACAATTGCTGTCATGTGGGTTTCTGGTCCAAATACATAAATGGGAATACGCAAAGTCTTTCCTACTTCCCTTATAATTCTAAGACCTTCTTGGTAATTGGGACCAGCACGACGAACGTATATTGTGATATTGTGATCTAAAATTTTAGTCTGGTATTCTGTCAAAGCTGTGACAATACCTTTGAATGTTGCTGCTACATTGGTGAAATTGGCAATACCACCTCCAGTAATTAAAACTTTGCCATCGGGATGTTTTTCTTGAGTCATTAAACTCAAAATGGTTTTGGCATATTCATAAGTTTGTTGTTCTGATGGAGCACCACTGTATTCTCCATAATTGGCTAATTCGCTAGCACCACCATAATCACAAATGGTATCAGCATAAATAACAGAGGCACCACCGCCAGCAACCATTGTCCAAATACGTCCTTTTTTGTTTAAAATTGTTAACTAAATAAAATGAAAAACAATTTGAAATTATTTGGAAAATCTTTAAAAGTTGAAATGAATATAACCAAAAATACTAAATACTAAATTTTTTTTTATGATTTACTTTAAGTGAAGCTCCACTTTTAGCATCTAAATCTGCAATGTATGCTTCTTCTGGGAAAGCATCACGTCCAAATGGTGGCGGGTATTCAATTTCACCCCAAGATGCACGACAAATAAAATCAGCAGTAGAATCAATTTTTGCAGCCAAATCCAAGATGTATATAGCACTATCTGTTACAACTAATGGGTTGATTTCCAAATATGTGAAGTACAGGTTAACATACATTTTGTATAAAGCAACTATAAATGTTGCAATGGTCCTAACATAAATGAATTTTTATGAATTATAAAAATATATTAGTTGTTATTTTACAATTATTTTACTTTTGTTTGGCTGGGCTGACTTTGGTCAATAGCTTTTCCAAGATTTGTTCCTCAGTTACACTTTGTCCAATTGGTACTTCAAGTTTTAATGCTTTAGCATCAACATCTCCAATGTCTACACCTCCCTCATGATGGAAGAGAATTGTATCAGCATGACGATGAGAGTAGATGCATACATATGCTTCTTCTTCCTACACATAAATATTATTTAGAAATATTAATTTGTTTTAAACAAACAAATATAAATTATACACACATCTTTGTGAGGAATGAATGGTTCGATGATAAAATTTTTCAATTTTCCATTGGCTCGACCAATTTGTTGGTCTTTTCCCAAACGCTCTAGAATCCATTGTTTAGCTCCAGAATAGTCAGTTTTTACTTTGATCAAGCCTAATTTACCACGACGTTTGATCAATTGATCAGGTTTTGCAACTAAGCTCTAAAAATTAAAAATGTTTATGAAATATTATAAATATTAATTAAAAATAAAATAATTAAAATGAATACTTCAGCTTTCAGCCATGGGTTATCCAGCACGAGGTCTTCCCATTTTGTGTTTTCATTAACTGAAGCAAACCGGCATTTCACTGCAGATGTTAATGGAGCTAAATTTCTGTTTATGATATCTTTTCCGGTTGCTTCACTTATTGCTTTGGCTGACATTATGAATCAACTGAAATAATATAAAATGTAGGTAATTAATAAATTACATAAAAAATCATAATAATATTATAACATGTTTACACATTTTATTTATTTATTATAAATTTTTCAATTGTATTCATTAACCATTGGATTTTTTGAAAAAAAAAATATAAATAGAAACATCCTTACTATTTTTTTTTTTTTTTTTAAATTTAAATTGCAATATACAGTCTGTATTGTTTCATGTAATACGAATATAATATAATTCCGAAAGCAAGCTTGGACATAAACGAATTAAAAAGTTTAAGTTAAGTTAGTTTAAAATTCCAAGTAATATTCGCCAGAAATACAACAAAAAAAGAGGTGGGTAAGTGGATGTCTCTCTGCTGTACAGTAGGTTACAAGTGGGTTACTGTATAATACTATAATGGATGGTATTAAATTTGAATTCAATAATATAGTATCATTGTATACTGTATAGGTACAAAAAACGATTCTGAGAGTAGACAGTTTGACAGTGTAGGTATTTTATATTATATTTGTATTGTTATTATTTACTATTAATACACGGTAGCAGGTAAGTTGAATTAATATCATAAAATTACAACAAAATGACTAAAACCGTTATTCTTGGTTATTTAATAACATGTAATTTAAACAATAAAAAAAACTGAGTTTTCATATTTTTTTGTTACAGAATAACCTACTTACGTTTAACATTGTTTTAAATGTTCAATCTGTAGCTATACAAGTTGAAAATTCAAAACATTTTTAACTACAAATTAATTTTTAAATTTTATATTTAATAAATGTTCTCAAATATCAAACTTTAAATGCTTATACAAAAAAAATTTTGCCTGCTTATTTTTATTATTTTTCAACTACTATTGTAACAGTATATCAGGAGCATTGTATTAATTTTTTAAACTTTTTACCCAACAAAAACAATTTTAATCACATGTATAGAAAAAAAAAACTAAAAAAATTGAAAATTGAAAATGTCCACAAACAGTTCGAAAAAAGTTAAAATATTTTGAAAATCTTATGGCTTATAGAATATAAACATTTATATATCCACGGTCATTTATTTTAATTACACCAAAAACCAAAATCAATTTGTCAAAATTACGGTTTTCATTATTTATTGTTTTTTTTTTCCACGGCGTTTTGACTCCTGAGCAGAGCCGTGTCAAGCAATTCAGCACCCCGGGGCAATTCGAGCCCTTTCCCTACAATTTGGGCTCCAAGTAGCATATTAAGCTCAAATAACGACGCCCCTTACTTTTACAAAACTATGGCGCCCGGGGGCAATTGCCCCTTTGCCCCCCCCCTTAACACGGCTCTGCTCCTGAGGTAGCAACTAGATTCACATTTTTACTGTCCTTAAAGGTGATGACACACACACACACAAAACATATCATTGTAAAATCAAATTTTCTGTCTTTGTCTAACACACGTGCAACGTAGGATTATACTGCCCTGCTAAGCTAAAGTGCAGTAACTAAAAAAAAAAAATGAGTTAGTTACGGCATATGATAATTAAAATACCCCTGAAATTACATTGAATAGGCAATAAAATCAATTTATTTAAATTTGAAAATGCCGTAGGTAACAAAAAAAAAATTCAAATCTGTTTTCAGAATTCTTATCTCTTCACTAGATTAATCGGTAAGTTGGAAATAGAACAAGTGTATAATCCTATGTTGCGCGTGTGCATTGTGCAACCTTATCGGTGGCGGTTGGCGGTGGCGTTAGCGGTTACGGAAAAATGAGTCCGGACACAATTTTACCGCCACCGCTGCAGCCTACAGTGGCGTCCTTTAGACATTGACAGAAAATCGCCTCTTCCAATCCCCTTAATATTAATTATATTAATATTTTCTAAACACCATAAAATTATTTTTACTTTTATTGAGCTATTTATAGGTTTATTAAATTGTCGATTATTATTAGTTTATTTTTAATTAATGTCGAGAAAAATTTAATTCAAGGTTCATCGTCAGTGAGTGTTAGTGGAAATTAAAAAAAAAATTGAGCGTAAACGACAATAATTTTTTATGAGATCGAATTTTGAAAAAATTAATAAAAATTACAAAATTGCAAATTATGTTGAGTTTTTTCTTAAATTTTTCTAAAGTTTTTCTTTTTTCTACCTACCTAAGATTTGAAAATGTAAAACAAGATTCCTTTTAAGTTAGTCTACCGGAAGTAAAATAAAATTTTTATGAGCATTTATAGTTCAAATTTTGACAAATTTATAATTTAGAATAAGGTTCCACGTAATTCAAGTAATTCATTCTGTAACACAAAACTAAAAAATATGTAACCACAATTTTTTATTGCTGTTTTAAGATTAAATTTGGACGAAATTAGATATTTAAATGAAGAATAACAATTTTAGCTATTGTGTTTCAATTTAAGAATATTATAATATACTTAATATAGATTCGACTGTCTCTGCTCAGAATCGTTTTTCGTATACAATGATAATAATATTATTTAATTCAAATTAAAGACCATCCATTACAGTAACCCAACTTGCAGGGTTGTTATGTTTAAAACAAAATATTTTAAACAGCTTGTTTTAATAGATACATAAATTTAAAACAATGTAAAATCCAAGTTATTTTCTGTTCAAAACGATGTTTTAAACAAAACAAATAGTTTGAGTTTTAAGCTACTACAATATACTGTTTAAAAATACACCAACTCTGCCTACTTGTACCCTACTGTACAGCAGAGCGGTGTCAACCTTTCCCTAGATTTTTTTTTATAACAGATCACGTTCGTAGGAGAATTAACCGATACCTATAGTAATATAAGCCAAATTTTTAATTGATATAAGTAAATTTAATACATTGTTTTTAAACATTAAATATTTAAACAAAAAATGACTGATCAATTTATAAGTGACTATTGAGCAATTTATTCTATCAATTTTTATAGTATTAAAAAAATATAGGCGTACATAAAAAATGTAGATAACACAGGGGTCATTAAAGGTCAACTTCACTTATAAGTAAACTTGAACGACCTTAAATATTAAATATTGTTTTTAAAAATATATATCGGTGTTCTATATAATATATGAGATCCATATTAGGAATAAATTAATAAAATCAGTTTTCATTATTAAAATATATAATATGATCTGTTAGGCAAGAATGAATATCAACAGATATTATTCGTCATTTATTCTTAATATATATTTTATATCCCATTATTCTAATATTATATTTTGAATTTATACATCAAATTAGATAATGACTTTGTAGTTTGAAACAAGGATAAATCATGTATGACGTAAAAGTATATTGCACAAATTAATGAACATAATATATTAGATTATTCTAAATTTATCAATTTAATTCATGCTTAATTGAATAATTAACAACTCGTTAAAAATAATATGGATAGAACGCGCTTTTAATATAAATATTGAAACAAAATTTATGTACCTAGTTTCCATGATTTTCTTTAAATCATTAATACATAATATATATATACTCTTTCAAATAAGTGGATTTACAATAATGTATAAAGTAAAGTATTATATGAAATTCTTGTTTAAGTAATTGATTATGAAACATATTATGTGACCCTCGTATCTATATTGATTGTAATTATTGTATCGTTACAAAAAATATATATATTTATAAATACATTCAGATTCAGATAATATTTTTTTGTTTACTTAATTTACTTAAGTACTTATAATAATATATAATTTGCCTTACTTTGGTATTGAGAAATCAAATCATTAAAAAAATTATTACATTTACTTATTAAAGATTTAATTAAAAAAATATTTTTGTTAGAATTTTATAAATTATAGTTTCACCTAAATAAGAATCATTTTGGGACCAGCACAGAGTAAGCGTTATAACCGAATGAACCTTTAGGCAAAATGGGGAAAGAAACAAATTTGTTTAAAATTAAATATTAATCATTAACTTTGTTTTGCTATTTGAATTTTACATATTATTATTTTAACATTAGGTACATATTTACCTTACACTACAATAATGATACATGCAATAGATGTGAAATACTATAAGATTGTTGTACATATAATTCATGAACCACTATAACACAAATAACACACTTTTTTAAAACTAAATAAACCTATATAACAATTTTTTACCAAAAATGTCTACATTTTATAACAATTATTCTTTTTTGCGAAATATGAGGTTTACAACCAAAGTGGAGTCTTATAACTGACTTTTTTCAATGTAATTGGATATTTCAAGACCGTTTCATGTTATTTTGAGTCTTATAAGTTATATAAGTGACTCAACGTTAAAAGAGGACGTCTAGTGTACTAATTGTTTATATTAAATCTATGATTATATTATGCTTTGAGCCATTTAAAAAATATCAAAATATGAATATCCGCTGTCGCAATATTGAAAACTAACAATTTGAAAAAAATTAATATGTTAAATTAAAATGTATAATATAATAGGTAACCCCCAAGTCAGAGGGTTTCTTCACGTGATTTTCATGTTCTTATTTTAATCTTATAAGTTATAAAATTAACTTATTGTACATCAAATATTACAGATCGTAAATATACTATTTTGTTTAAAGCTGTCATCGATGCCATTAAATTTCAAGACAATATTATCAACAAACAATTATAGGTAATAAACAAAACGTCAACATTGTAGATATCTAATTGGTATTCAACTGGAATGTTTAGTAATTGTAAACAGTTATTACTTTAAGTTTTAGTTCTTGGAGGGTGGGCCTACTTAGGGCATAACCCAGACCTTAGTTCACTAATCTTGAAAGCACTGGTATTTTTTGCTTCTCGATATTAATTACATTTTTTCCATTACTACTCCAATATGATAAATATTTTCCAAAAATTACAGAAATTTAGGATGGGTACATATAGTATTGTTTAATTTTCATACTAACTTAAAATAACGAAAAAAAAATATATATTAAACATTAATTGTATCAAACAAACTAAACGTTTTACAATTCAAATAATATACCTAAATCAGAAA